CTTTCAGACCATTTTATTACAGGAAAGGAACCTCAGGAAGAATTCCTCTGAGAGTTTTTAATCACACAATTTATGGAGCACTGTCCCATTCAAAATCTGGAGATTCTTCAAAGCAGTCAATGAAAAGAAAATTCTTCTCAGATTTTTTTTTTTTCTTGAGTCAAAACCTTCCCATTTTTTTTTTTTAATTCGTGGTCTCCCTCTCATCTTTAACCGATGTACAACAGTTTAAAAGTGGGAATCTGGAATTTTCTGACACGGGAATCGATGGAAAGGAGAGTGTGAAATACYTGAGCAGATTTAGAGTCAGAAGTGCAGTTCCTCAGCCGAGAATCTGAGCAGGGTTTTATTCTCTGGTTCGGAGGGCAGGAGTTCAGCTTGGAGCTTCTCCTGACAGGAAATTCCTGCCCCTTTCAGATTTGATGATTTCTCATCCCAGCGAGGMGGGAGAGGTAATTCACATTTTCAGCGCTTTTTCCTTTTTTGCAGTAATGATCCAAACGGAAGAGTTAAAGATGCTTTGTGGTGCAATAACCGCGAGCTCTCGATGGCTCCCCGGGACACAGGGACCCCGTTTGTTCCTGGGTTTTTCCAATCACTGGGGATCCATCACCTCCCTCCTTCACTGCTCTAATTACCCACAAAAATTAAGTCAACAATGGCGTTTCGTAATTAATTCCCTGTAACAGCAAAGCGACTTGGGAATAGAAAATTGGAAGAAATAGAATTGTAATTATTTCCTGTACTTCTGTCTCTGCACCTGGCACTGGAGAGCCAAGCACAGGTGTGGGGTTGGGGCTTTGTGGGGATTTGTGTTTTCCTGCTCTGGTCTGAGCTGTTTCCACTTCGCCTTTGTGACCCTGGGGTTGCATTTTCTTTTTTCTGTTTGGGCCTCTCCATTGTTACATTTTCAGTCAATACCCCACTCTCTGCAATCCCTGAGCCTAAAACACTTTAAATTCTCTTTACTGCATTTTTCAAGGGGGGATCTCATGAACAAAATGGGGCAAAAAAGGCTTCAGAAAACAAACAAAAAAAAAAGGCTTCTCTCTGGTGATTGATTTGGTAGAACTGTGTGGCAATGGGATTGTTCAAAGTTGAATTTTGTAACCTTACGATTTTGTCCAATGCGATTTCCTGTYGTGCCCTGCCAGAGAGGGTGAATTCCTTCTCAAAGCTGACATTTCCACAAAATCTCTGTGATTTTTCTTTTTCCTTCTCAGCGAGTTGTGAATGTGTTAAAAGCAGAACCATTTTCAGCTGGGAGTTATTTTTGCAGGAGTTTTTTTCTTGGCTTAATGGTTCTGGTTCCGGTAAAACCGATACCAAAACATGGATTTTGGGCTGAGTGGGAAGCTGGAACCTTCCGGCTGGGGTTGACTGGGCCCAGCTGGAGAATTGGGGTGGGAGGGACAGGTTTTTTAAAGATGTTTGAACCAAACGTTTCATTTTGATTTTGGCTGGAGGGCCCAGCTGAAACGTCAGTCCCAGCATCGATCCTGACGCGGCTCCCACCCGGAGCAGGGTGTAGGGACTGGGGTTCCTGTGCTGCCATTGCTGGGGCATTCCTGGTGTCCCCAGATGTGTCCCCATGTC